AAATATTATATGGAATTGAACGAAAATGAAAATTTGCTTGATAATTCAACTACGCTTGTTGGAGAACAATAAAAACACTACACTCAACAAGCCACCAATAAAACTCAACTGCCTAACCTATAACCAAAGTCTCCTTTTAATTTGTTTTTTAAAAAAAGCGCTTGACAAACTTGCCCCGCATGCGGAAGTTGCCCCGGTCTCCCTTATATTGATATATTGTAAGTTTCGGTATTTTTTATATTTAGGAAAAAATCGTGACACTTGATTTAGTGTTGTAAAAGATCAAAGGAAAAACTTAGACATATGCCTATAAATAAATTTATTTTTACTTTTTCGGCTATTATATATGACGGTGGGAAAGAGTGGCGATCGGTCAAAAAATAATCCCTAAGATCATTATATTTTTGGAATCTTTTAACGCCGAAAAATAGAAACAAATTTATGTGTTTGTGTTACACAATTTTGTTCACTTTATTCGAATCCTAGTAACTTCCGTGCTTTTCGTTCAAAATGTCTAAAATTTTTCAGAAATATTGGCATATTAGAGCGATTGTTGGAGTTAAATTTTGGTGGTTAAAAATCTAGGGAGTGTGAAGTTAAGGAAGATCGTATGTATCTTCAGTTGGGTCAGACTTAATGTCTATTTTACTTGTTACAAGCATTTAAGATTTTTTTTACAGAACCTATCTCTATCTTTAAATTAAGCTTTTATCATTTTAAAATAGTTAAAAATATAAGGTTTTTAAAATAAAATATTAACATATGATGCCACCAACTGTTACCGAAAAAGTTACTGGATTTTTAAACTTCTTGACAACATAATATATCTTTCAAAACTAGAAAAATTAAAACCGTTAATTGTGATTAATTATATAAAACCGTGCGCTTTGGTCTACTGTGTGCAGCTTCGAAAAGAAAAAAAAATTGTAATTTTTATAACATAAACCGTTTCGTAGTATATTTTACATTGTTTAAATGTAATTTGTCTGAATTGCTTGTATTTCACTAGTAACAATTGCAGAATAGACTCGCTTCATCACTTTCTACCACAGCATATAAACTGTACGCCCATTTAAAGCAGTTTTGCCAAACGATCGACCCTTCAATAGATCCTGCTCCGAATACACACAAAAATAGAAAGAGCACAATATCTCGTTGGGAAGACGGGAAAAGTCTTTTTCAGGCCGCGGTAACAAATCACAGTAATCTTGACAATACAGACATGAGATATGGGAGGTCATATAAATTCTTGTTGGTCTTACTTACTTACATACCGAAATGAGTTCTTTTCTGCTGTGCATTCTATTACAGTATGTTCTGGTTTCTCTCTGGCTCAAATTAAAGATTAAAGGTTTATAATATTTTTTATATGGCGAGCCATCTCTTCCAACTTCTCCTCCTAAAAATTTTTCAATTTGTTTGGTTTCATCACTCTTTTATTAGATAGATTTGCCTGTACACTAGTCGAACAGACAGTTTTCAATATAGAGTGTTATCGGTTAACGAGCATAATCCGTTCCAAAACTTTGTTCGCTATCCGAATTGTTCGTTAAACGATTATTTTTATAATCATAGGTTTTTATGGAAATTTGATTAATACGTTCTGGAGACCCCCAAAAATACAAAAATATATACTTTGTTATTACGTTTATTTAAATGTAATAATAAAAATACATATATACACAGTCTTGCATTTTTATTAGTCACGTTTTTTCCGTTTATGGGGGTTAAAGAATTTGTGTAATGTTGATTGTTTTTATCTCTTATTCAGGATTATACTGAAGTTATTAATAACATTGTAATTGCAGAGATCCCTAAGACTATTAACCTCAACCTAGTTTGGATTCCGTTCTAAGACCGTTGTTCTGACATCCTCCCACTTCTTGAAAAGAACTTTACTTGCGAATATCGGCATTAATCCTCTTTTTCAGAAGAAAACATATCTCGCCAATTTCTTAGTATTTTTCATTCAAGAGTTATTGTCGTTCTTCTGTCTTCAAATCCGTTTCAGGTTCCATTATTAGCTATTCAATGTTCTTTATTTCTCAAATGTAATTTTTGTTACTTCTTTAGCTGCTTGAGTATTCTTGAAAATACAGTGTCTTTCTTAGAGAAGATTGAACTGCGTCTTAGTGTACACCTGTTCAAACCATACTGCCCAGCAACGCCAGACATCTGCCACTCTCTGTGTATGCTATTATAATCTTAACTTTCGAAAAAAAACCGACGCAACACTTAACGAGGGTCCGCCTGACACTCTCGCGAATACTATAAAGGAATTGTTTCTTTCAGAAAAATAAAAGGCTAAAATTACAACGGAGAGTTTGAAAGTTTGAAGAAATACTATCCGATCAGTATATACCGGATTGAGTGTCGATATCGACGTCTTCCGCAAACCGAAAAGTTACGAATTGTTGCCTGAACATAAAAAGACTAACCGGTATTCATTAGTTTACGTCGGTTCTTCTTGTGTTTGTTCTGTGAGGTGTTCGTTGAACAAAAATAAAAATCTTTCGCGAATGTTTTAGTTATCCGATTTGTTCGTTTAACAAACTGTTTATTAACTGATCACCCACTGTATACTGAATCGATACGTTATTATTTTTATTTGCATATTCGTAAATTTCAGTTAACGATCGAGGATTTTTAATATATTCTTTATGACATCTTCAATAGAGACAAGCAATTATTATTTGTGACATTGTCACAATGCTTGGCTGCAATTATTTCTAATAATCTTAGTGTACTTAATTTATATTTTCTCATCTCATATTTAAAGTATCTTGCTCTTACATATATGCTTTACCTAATAACAACTAACATTTATTTTAAAACGAAAGTTTCTATATATTTAATCGGAGCGTATTGCCATTATTTATTCCATCGCTTGTATTGTCATTCCTTTCTCTAGCGCCTGTCCTGAGAGTAACAAAGGACGGACAGTAAGACACAGAACAGTGGGAAATTATATTCTACACTTTTTCGAACGGTCCAATAATTGTTGAGGATTTAAAAACACAATATTGATAATATTAGAATAAATCTTATATGTAATAAACACACGAAATTAGAATTAGTGAAGTATGGAATGCAACTAAAATAGAAAATGTGCTTCATAATTATTATAAATAATAATAAAAAACTGGACTGTTGATTTGAAATGAAACTCGTTTATTAAATAAAGTAAAATACTCTACTTGAGTTATGGTTTACAAAAAAGTTCGCTGAATTACAGTAGCAGACCTGAAAGCATTACTTTTCAGAAAAATCCCAGGCAGTAAATATACTCGCATACACCATTCGCAACATGTTGCGCAGCTGGCCATACAAAACTTTTTCTGCTTTCTGTTTTGCTCAGGCAGCTTGCTGAAAACCTGAAAAATCATGTGGTGTTGGGGTTGTTAAAAAAAGCAAAAAATGACAACACTGGCTAGGATTACAAGTGTGCTAGAAGGTCTGCTAATTTAACTCAAGGTCAATAACGTAATGTAACAACTGTACTACCTATGAACTGTGTTTGAACCACTCTAATGTAAATATGTTTTTCAGATACTATGAAGAAACCAGTTCGATTCCCTAATACATCTGTAATAGTAGATCCGCAATGACTACCGTTACGGAAGATCGAATATCGTGACAAGTTATTATAAAATACCCATCTTCTATTGTACGTTCGTGGAAGCTGCCTAACAGTGCAGCGAACGAATAGACTGACCTGTATGTCAACTAACTCTTTCTGCCATTTGGCTACAAACAGAGCCACTTTTAGCAATCCCGTTATTAGTTCTGCAAGTCCCACAATGATCAGAGAAGCGGCTCGACATATCAGGACTGACTATCATCTAAAAAATACTGAGGCTTTTTGATCTATTCGGATTCCCTAGAGCGGTATGATGCACTTATATCAGGTGAAGTCAAAAGTAATGTAATTGCGATTTTCATGTTAATTTACGTATGTACGTAGCATTTTATAATGTCTCGATTTATTTACAGTTTAATTTTTCAATTTAATATCTCTTCTACCTTATTTAACTCCATATAATTAAAATTCACATATCTTATTTTACGTTTTACTTTCTAAAAGTATCGTTAAATTACAGTTGCATTTTCATTCCTATATGAAAACTTTGCACGAATTCATTAGTCCTGATTGTCTGCCCTTGGAATATGGAGGAAACTTGCCAGGATACGATCTTACTGAAGCTAATAATATGATAAAAGGTAACGAAGAATTGTATCGCAGAAACGAAGAATATTTGAAATTGTACGAAGAAGAAATAAAGAAAAGTGTTAAAGATATCAAGTCTAGAAACATTGGTAGAGATTCACAAGAAGAATAATTGAAAAAATTTATAGAAAAGTCAGAAGAAAAATTTAAACTTTATTCTAACAATCCAGAAGCTTTAATGAATGCTGTAAAGTAAGATTCCAAATGTGAAATAACCCTTTATTAAGTTGTTAGGATGACTTTTGCTGTCGGTTTTGAATGATATAAGCAAAAACTGTGGAATAATTACTGTAATTACATATTTCATTTTCTCGTAAAATATAAGAATTAAAACTTTTCCTAGTGGAAATAACACAATTTAATGAATTGTTATTGCAGATTCACTATTTTTAATTATGTATAATCAAATATTCTAGCAGCAGAGAGCAATAATAAGATAAATTCGTTTCTCGAAATATTACCGAAAATTGCAGATAGATTTACTTGTATGAAATTTTATATCTTACTAGCAGGTAGGCCCGGCTTTGCTCGGGCAAAAGTAACGATAGGGAAGATTAACATTATTACGTTATAGTCAACCTTATCCGTTTTCACAGAATGCAAGAATTGGGTCCCCCTGTTTCCAGTCTGATTATAGAATTTTCAGATGGGTCTAAAAATATGTTTGATTTCCCGGAAAAACGAAAAACATCTGCGTCTTGCACGTCGCTTTCTCTTAACAATTCAATTGCTACGTAACACTTCCATTGTTGACATTTCTATTGTTACTTAAAACTTCCATTGTTACTTAACACTACTGGGGGAATTTCGAAAAATTCCTTTATAGTGTGCGTTTTTGTGACGTACCCTAACTTTGTACCAACTTTCAACTTTCAACTCCTAACCGTTTGGGCTTTGCATTTATTATTATTATTATTATTATCATTACCAACTCGTCTCGGTTATATATATCGATTGAGTAATTTTGCTAAAATGTTTAATTGTTGTCCACATAGTTTTATCTACTCACATTGAAGCTTTTAAAACTTTTAAAACATAATTGTATATGGATAGTGTGCTGTATAATTCAAAGAAATGATATTTTCCACAGAAAAGGCTGAACAATCCATATAAACCAATGACATGAATAGATAATTTAGAAAATGTCGTTAATCCGCTGATGAGGCCGAAGATAAAAGAGGATATTCATTTGGGTAAAAAAAAAAGTAATATAAGCATTTATTTGTAGTTTAACTGTTTCAAGTCGTAATTTGTTCTTAAGAATAGGTACCGATTGCGTAAACTCTGAGACTATATTACATATTATAACTTATAAAAAATTTTTAGAAGTATACTTACATTTTTAATTTTGTTATAACTAAATACCGAATCTATTGTTTGCTGTTTACAACTGAACATTTATTACAAGAATGAAAAATTTTATAAAAAATAATTTCATTCAGATTGAATAGATTTTATTAGATTAAATTTTATTGATAAACATGTACAATTTCGAATTTAGAAAACGTTTTTATCGCATTTAAAATAAATTAAATTTTATGCACCAGAGATAATTATATCGAAAGCTTTTCGCTTTGTAAATTTCGGAAAAAAAAGCCAAATTTAATAATTCTAATTAATTTTGAAGATTTTCCAATCTCAATCTTATATCTTCAATTTTCCTATTGAAGGTTTTTTTCTGCACTCGCTGGAGAAAACTCCTGATGACTTGCTGGATTATGCTGTTGTTCTGCTTCATTGTTTTGTTTTCTTTTAGGACCTTGACCTTTTATATCTTTTTCGTCTTTACTTTTTTTCAAAATTTTGAAGCATTTTTCTGCAGTTTTCTTTTCTGATTTTAATTCTTCAGTTTTTTCGAGAAATGTTTGTAAGTGTTCAAATATTGAAAACAATTCCTGTAGGAACAAATTGTATACACAAATTAAATATAACATCAATATTAAATATATTAAAATTAAATATATAAAATTNTAAAATTAAATATTTTAATTAATTTAATTATACTTAGGGCTAAAAGCAATTTCTATAATGACAATGTTACATTTAAAGAATAATTTGCCTAGATTCCAATTGATATTTGTGCATGGGCCTTCATCTATTAAAAGTTAAAATAGATAAAATTAACAATGACATCTGGCTGCATCATATGTTGTCAACACTTGTGCTCCAGATGTGTAAGGTAACACACCTTTGTAACCGCTCCCTGCATCTTGTAGAAATGTCTGAACCTGCAACTCTGTTGTTCTACTGTTTTTGGTACGTACATGATTTAAACTGACTGTATAATATTAGTTCATAACTGTTAACCAATATTTTGGCTAACTCATAACTATTTTTGTATCAGCACCCTGTTTATCACGTTACCATGCAAAGTTAGGAAGAAATGTTAATCCTGTCTACATTGATAATGCTTACTGCTCATACAATCATGGCGATGGTTTCATCTTTATATTGTATAGCTTTAGGCATAGTTTTAAGTTTAATTTTAAATTTGATATTTTTTCACCTTGTATAATTTTAAGTATACTAAGACCTCTTGCTATTGCCAACTGATGAGGGACTATTTTTCCATTGGAAAATACTACGAAATGCATTTTGGATTTTTACTGTTTTTATACTTATGTAATCATCTTATTGTACACCCCTTTTTGTTATATTAAATTTTTTACTTTGATTCTTGAGCGTTTGTGCCCAATATCATTAATGTGATAAGCCCTTCCTATTATCTGCCTTATGGTTATAGATAATTTAATTAATTTAAATTAAAAATATTTTACAGTTACAGATTTTATTTGACGGTAAACACGATAATTCTATGAAAGTGGATTGATGTAGAAAAGAAATGCAACATATGGATGATCCACGATTCATACATTTAAGGAGAAAACGTTAGGTGTTAGACATAGAAAACAACCCAGAAAATTGACACTATGGTTCGAGAACCTTTTAATATTCAGAGAAATCGAGAGTAATAATAGGAATGCAAAGAAACGCAACACTCAGTAAAAATTAGAAATATGAATATAGTTTTACAGTATTGAAAGAAAAATAAAATAAATATTTTAATACGTACGCAGGAAGTGGAATCAGAGAGAATAATGCTTTGATCTACGTTAAAAGGTTCTCCGCATGTTCTCCCGTACTTTTCGTATTTAAATGATCCTTTTGAACCAGCACCATTACTTCGGCCTGAATGATATCTGTTAATGTGCTCTTGTAACTCTGATTCCGTTTTAAATGTTAACCCGCAATATTGGCATTTGTGACGCATATCATCGAACACGTCCATCGAATACTCTTCATACTTAAATGATCCACCTGTGTCAGCACCGTTATTTTCGCGTGTGTGTTCTTTATTAATGTGCTCTTGTAACGCTGATTCCGTATTAAACGTCTCTCCGCACCATTCGCATCTGTAAGGCACATTTCTCAAATTTCTCAAATTTCTAAACTCAAAAACATGCATTCTCTTTATGAGATTGGATTCACAACGTAAAACTTAACTCCGATATAAATTATTATTTTTTAATCGTTCAGATACTCTTTCTTGCGGCTAGATGGATCGTTTCCGAATATGCGACTGATTGTTGACCTCAACAATTGAACAATTGATATATTGTTTTTCTATGAAATTAGAATTGAATTGTTACCTGATTATTATATTCAAAATATTTTTTATTTATCTTCTATATGATAGTTTGTAAGTTTCGGTACGTTTTATATTTAGGAAAATATCATGACACTTGAAATATTTAGTGTTGTAAAAGATCAAAGGATAAACTTAGACATATGACTATAAATGAATTTATTTTTACTTTTTCGGCTGTTATATATAACAATGGGTAAATGTGGCGATTAGTTAAAGAGTAATCTCCAAGACCATTACATTTTCTTGAATCAATGCACCTTGAAACGCTGAGAAATAGAAAAACAAATCCACGCGTTTGTACGACCGAATTTTGTTCACTCTCTTTGAATCTTAATAACTTCTGTCTTTTTCGTTAAAAATATGTGAAATTATGCAGGAATATTTGGGTATTAGAGTTACTGTTGCTGTTAAATTTTGGTAGTTAAAAATCTAGGGAATGGGGAAATAACGAAGGTCGTGTGTATCTGCAGATGGGTCAGACTTAATGTCTATTTTACTTGTTACTAGCATTTACGATATTTTTAAATAGAACCTATCTCTATCTTCAAAATTAAGCTTTTATCATTTTAAAATAGTTAAAAATATAAGATTTTTTAAATAAAATATTAACATATGACGCCACCAACTGTTACCGAAAAAGTTACTGGATTTTTAAACTTCTTGACAACATAATATATCTTTCAAAACTAGAAAAATTAAAACCGTTAATTGTGATTAATTATATAAAACCGTGCGCTTTGGTCTACTGTGTGCAGCTTCGAAAAGAAAAAAAAATTGTAATTTTTATAACATAAACCGTTTCGTAGTATATTTTACATTGTTTAAATGTAATTTGTCTGAATTGCTTGTATTTCACTAGTAACAATTGCAGAATAGACTTGCTTCGTCACTTTCTACCACAGCATATAAACTGTACGCCCATTTAAAGCAGTTTTGCCAAACGATCGACCCTTCAATAGATCCTGCTCCGAATACAGACAAAAATAGAAAGAGCACAATATCTCGTTGGGAAGACGGGAAAAGTCTTTTTCAGGCCGCGGTAACAAATCACAGTAATCTTGACAATACAGACATGAGATATGGGAGGTCATATAAATTCTTGTTGGTCTTACTTACTTACATACCGAAATGAGTTCTTTTCTGCTGTGCATTCTATTACAGTATGTTCTGGTTTCTCTCTGGCTCAAATTAAAGATTAAAGGTTTATAATATTTTTTATGTGGCGAGCCATCTCTTCCAACTTCTCCTCCTAAAAATTTTTCAATTTGTTTGGTTTCATCACTCTTTTATTAGATAGATTTGCCTGTACACTAGTCGAACAGACAGTTTTCAATATAGAGTGTTATCGGTTAACGAGCATAATCCGTTCCAAAACTTTGTTCGCTATCCGAATTGTTCGTTAAACGATTATTTTTATAATCATAGGTTTTTATGGAAATTTGATTAATACGTTCTGGAGACCCCCAAAAATACAAAAATATATACTTTGTTATTACGTTTATTTAAATGTAATAATAAAAATACATATATACACAGTCTTGCATTTTTATTAGTCACGTTTTTTCCGTTTATGGGGGTTAAAGAATTTGTGTAATGTTGATTGTTTTTATCTCTTATTCAGGATTATACTGAAGTTATTAATAACATTGTAATTGTAGAGATCCCTAAGACAATTAATCTTAACTTGGTTTGGATATTGTTCTAAGACCGTTGTTCTGACATCCTCCCACCCTTTTAAAAGATCATTACTTACAAATATCAGCATTAATCCTCTTTTTCAGAGGAAAACATATCTCGCCAGTTTCTTAGTATTTTTCATTCAAGAGTTCTTGTCGTTCTCGTGTCTTCAAATCCGTTTTAGGTTCCATTATGAGCTATTCAATGTTCTTTATTCCTCGAATGTAAGTTTTGTTACTCATTTAGCTGCTTGAGTTTTCCTCATTATACAGTATCATTTTTAGAGAAGATTGAACTGCGACCTATTGTAGACCTATTTAAATAATACTGTTTAGCAACATGAGATATCTGCCCACTCTCTATCTTTGCTATTATACTTTCACCTTTCGGAAAAAAATCGACGCAAAACTTAACGAGTGTCCGCCTGACAGTCTCGCGAATACTATAATAAAATTGTTAGTCGAAAAAATAAAAGGCTGGAATTAGAAGGGAGAGATTCAAAGTTAGGTGGAATACTATCCAATCAGTATATACCGGGTTGAGCATCGATGACGACATCTCCCGCAAACCGAAAAGTTTCGAATTGTTGCCTGAACATAAAAAAGGCCGGTATTCATTAGTTTACGTCGCTTCCTTTTGTGTTTGTTCTGTGAGGTGTTCGTTGACCAAACATAAAAATCGTTCGCGAATGTGTTTGTTATCCGATTTGTTCGTTTACCGAACTGTTTATTAATCGATCACTCACTGTATTCTGAATCGAATCGTTATTGTTTTCATTTGCATAATCATAAATTTCAGTTAACGATCGAGGAGTTTTAACATATACTTTATGACATACCAATTATTATTTGTGACATCGTCACAATGCTGTGCTGCAATTATTACTCATAATCTTAATGTATTCAAATTGTATGTTATCATCTCATGTTTCTAATGTCTTGCTCGTACATATACACTTTACCTATTAACAACTATCGTTTATTTTAAAACTAAAGTTTTTATATATTTAATCGGAGCTTACTGCCATTATTTATTCCATTGCTTGTCTTGTCATTCATCTCTCTAACGCCTGTCCTCAGAGTAACGAAGGATAGACAGTAAAACAGAGAAGAGTGGAAAATTATAGTCTACACCAGGAGTGTCCAACCTTTTTGTTTCTGTGGGCCACATTGGAAAAAGTCAAGGAGTTTTGGGCCACAAGTATGTATAATATATACTTGTGGCCAAATACACAAGTACATTTAAGGACTAACGTGTGTAGATTATAATAGAAAGTATTAAAACTTTATCATGAAAAAAGATATTTTAAAAAATGACTTTTACACACACTTTCAATTTTTACTTAGAAATAGATAAATTCATTTATTTCTTTGTTTGGGTAAAAGAGACAAACGAAAATTTATTTGAAAAACACAAATATTTGTTTNTATTATAATGTACTGAAAATGTACTAAAAATCTAAATGTACTTTCAATTTACTGGAAAGGTACAAATGTACTAGGAACGGCAACACTGCCTGTGGCCCTCTGCTTATCTCAGAATACCTTCAGTAGACACAAGCAATTATTATTTGTGATATCGTTACAATGCCGGGCTGCAAATATTTTTCATAATCTTAATGTATTCAATTTATATGTTCTCATCTCATATCTGTAGTGTCTTCCTCTTACATGTACGCTTTACCTAATAACAACTATAATTTATTTTAAAACAAAAGTTCCTATGTATTTAATCGGAGCTTACTGCCATTATTTATTCCATTGCTTGTCTTGTCATTCATCTCTCTAACGCCTGTCTTCAGAGTAACGAAGGATGGACAGTAAAACAGAGAAGAGTAAAAATTTATAGTTTACACCAGGGGTGTCCAACCTTTTTGTTTCTGTGGGCCGCATTGAAAAAAGTCAAAGAGTTTTGGGCCACAAGTATATATAATATAGAATTGTGGCCAAATACACAAGTACATTTAAGGACTAACGTGTGTAGATTATAATAGAAAGTATTAAAACTTTATCATGAAAAAAGATATTTTAAAAAATGACTTTTACACACACTTTCAATTTTTACTTAGAAATAGATAAATTCATTTATTTCTTTGTTTGGGTAAAAGAGACAAACGAAAATTTATTTGAAAAACACAAATATTTGTTTTATTTGCGTCTGCAATTAATAAAAAGCGACGAAACACCATTTTAAAGTACATTTTTATTCAACTAATATATTTATAAATAATATGTAGCCAATAAAAGTAGCCTAAACGCCAAATGAAAATTTAAACGTCAAACAAAAAAGTAGCCACATTTGGCGCAACGTAGGCAAATGTAGCAATAATGGCAGGGAAACTAAATAAAGCTGGAGTTGTGACTCAAAGAATTATAGACTCAAATGCGCGAAAGGAGAGAAAGGACAAAAGATAAAGAAGTGAGAAAGGTTGGAAAATTAAGGCTCAATATTTGCATAACAGAAGATCTATTTAACCTTTCTCACTACTTTTTATCTTTTGTCCTTTCTCTCCTTTTCCCAAATTTGGGTCTATAATCCTTTGAGTCACAACTCCAGCTTTATTTAGTAATCCTTCCTCATTCACACATCTACAAGTATTTGAAAATATATTCTTTCCACTCAAAAATAAAATATGAATGAAGGTTCACGAATTTGTGAAACTTCTTTTTTTTGGGTTTATGCCGTTGAAATAAATAAATAATAAAAAATTAAAACATTTGTCGGTTTTGTTTACACGTTTATTGGCCAAATTGAAACTTTTCTTTGGCCGCGGTTTGGACACCCCTGGGCTACACTTTTTCGAACGGCCCAACAACTGTTGAGCATTTAAACACACAATGTTGATAATATTTGAATAAATCTTACATGTAACACAATGTTGATAATATGAGAATAAATCTTACATGTAATAAACACACGAAATTAGAATTAGTCATGTATGAAATGCAACTGAAATAGAAAATGTGCTTTATAATTATTATAAATAATAAAAAAAACTGGACTGTTGATTTGAAATAAAACTCGCTTAATAAATAAAGTAAAATACTTTACCTGAGTTATGGTTTATAAAAAAGTTTACTCAATAACAGTAAGAGACCTACACCGTTCGCAACATGTTGCCTACGGTGTATGCGAATATATTTACTGCCATGGACATACAAAATGTTCTCTGCTTTCTGTTTTGCTCAGGCAGCTTTGTGAAAACGTGAAAAATCATGTGGTGTTTGGGTTGTTGCAAAAAATGGTAACACTGGCTAGGATTACAAGTATGCTAGAAGATCTGCTAATTTAACTCAAGTTTAATAAC